TTACATAAGCAAGTGGACACTTATTATTCTGTTTATACGGAGCTCTACAAGAAGCAAAATGAATCTTTGGTGAGGGAAAAAGTCAGAGTGGCGGTTGTTGGAGTAGGGATGTGGGTTGGACTAGAAAATGACATGCAGAGTTTTCTGGAGTGATGGAGATGCTCCAGATCTTGAATTATAAAACTCAGTGAATGTACATCTAATATTTGTATATTTCATTGTATGTGAATTTATCTTAAAAGAAAAAAATTGTAAACAAGTATTGAACTCGAGTTAATGAAATACATCCTGATAGGAGGACATGTAGTGATGTCTACAATTTACTTTAAACTGCATCCAAAATATTAGAGTTCTAATCTTATGCTGAAATGTTGATTGTTTACTATGAAATTTACTTTTCAAAATATTAATATAGTCTCAAGATTAAACCTCTTTGTAACCCTTAGCTTTTGATAAATTGAACACTCTTTAAAATACTACAATAAAGACAAAATAAGACCAGGTGCAGTGGCTTATGCCTGTCATCCTAGCACTTTGGGAGGCTGAGGTAGAAGGATCACTTGAGGCCAGGAGTTCAAGACCAGCCTAGGCAATATAGCAAGACTCCCAGCTGTACAAAAAAAATTTTTTTTTTAATTAGCCAGGGATGGGGGCATGTACCTATAGTACCAGCTACTCAGGAGGCTGAGCCAGGAGGATTGCTTAAGCCTGGGAGTTGGAGGCTGCAGTGACCTGTGATTATGCCACTATACTCCAGCCTGGACAACACAGTGAGACCCCATCTCAAAGAAAAAAAAAAAAGACAAAAATCAATCAACTAGAAACTTAGCGTGAGTTTTCAAAAGCTGTTAAAAAAAACCATCTCATTCAAAATAAATTGCTCTAAATTGTATAAACTGTTGGGAAACTCAAACATTTTTGTTCAGTGGTTAAATGCGATAAATCAGCAAAATTGATCTCTAGATGGAGTGGCTTTCAGTTTATGATTTTCAGTGAATTGACTTCTAGGTGTTTTTATGATTTTTTTATAGTTTAGCACTACTTTGGTCCTGTGTGTCACCATGTGCAAACTACACTAAATCAGACCAACAGTAGTACACCTGAAACAACTGATATAAACATTTATTTCTTTTATCATCATAAGTTTGAGCACTTGGATTGTTTGAATTGATTGTAATTGTCTAGTGGTTTAATGTATTCTTGTCTCTATTGATGTTAATTTACTAAATGAATCCTTAAATTAAAAACTGCCATCTTTATTTCTCCATTTTTATTTGCTTTTTGTTACCTTTTATACAAATTTTGCTCATCTTCATAAACCGTTTTCCTCAGTAGTAGCTTTAGGTGAAGTAGTAGGGCCCCCACGTCTCTACTCTTCCTCACATCTCCAGGCATCTGCTCCAAACTTGCTTCTCTGTTTTCTCAGCTCCCCTTCCAACTCTTGTTAGCTTGTCAGCCTTCATCATTATTACTTCATTAAGGCCTTATTTCATTAGCAGGGAAAGATGTGGATGCAAGGGAAAGGGAGGAAAATGTGGAGAAATGGTGCTAAAAGATCAAGTTTTTATAGTGTAGCTTTTTTATATTTATACATATGTATCATTATCTTTATATTACACATCTGGTTTCCCATCTTAGAATTAACCCTCCTCCTCTTCCCCTTTGTGTCGGCATCTCCTCTTCTATTAATACCAAACTGCTAGAAAGGATGATCTACACGGTGGGCTCCACATCTGATGGATGACCTATATCAGAACTTGGGTGAGAGAAGAAACAGGATTCTGAGACCCACAGTTGGTAGTGTTGATTCACTAAATCCAGGATGGGGCTGAAAAATCTGTATTTCATTTTCACCAGTCAGGGGTGGAGATCAGTGATCTTCAAGTATTTTTGCTTGGTATTCCCTAAAACTATGTATTTTTTACTTGACATCCTAAAATTTTCATCATAAGTTTCAATAGTTACCAGAGATTTAATTTATAGCATATTATATTACTCTGTTAAATGTTCCAAATGGAATCTTAAATGCCATAGCAATTTGATATCTATTATAATCCATTTAAAAATATATATCAAGAAGCACTTCTTTAACAGTTGGAAATTTTATTTTATACTTTCTTCTCCTCAAATTCATAATTTCATTTCTCTTCTAATACAGAATCTTACCCTAATGGAATTGTCTTTTATGCTTGAAAGTCTTTTATGATTATATTGATAAAGCATATTTTATTGTAACTAAAATATGTGCATAAATTGAAGTTGAAAAATTTTAATTTCTTGTGTCTATGTCTTTAAATGTTAACTTTTTTTCCTTCAGGATTAAGTTGTAATTTTAGTTGATCAAAATAATGAAAATATGTTATAAATTATAATTTAATTAAATAATTATTAAGCATAAAGAATAGAATGTAAATTTAAATCTCTTAATGAAAGATTTTTTCTAGTCAGTTCCTGGTCACCGGATGAATGTTACTTATTGCCTAAATAAGACAGATTTCAGCATCAGTTGTATTCTTTTGTTTGTTTAATTTTATAACTCTGGTTAGAAAGAAGCCAAGTTTCTTATATAAGAAACCAAGTTTACATAAAGAAGTAAATGATAATAGAACACATTTCATTATAATTATGTCATTCAGTTCTTTGAACAATTTTTTCTTTTCCCTGAGAGCATAGATTCAAGTTGCCCTGAATATATGCTCCCATCTTTGAACAATTTGAGTTATTTTCTTAAATGTCATATCGATCTACTAACAAAAATTATTACTAATTACCTCTAAACTGTCAACTCATTAGGACCTCCTTTGATTTTTTTTTTTTTGGTCCTATTAGTATGTTTTCTCATTCCTTGTAAATCTGTGTAATGGGAATAATAACATTTAATTTATAGAGAGTATGATGATTGCAATATAGTAAATGCTCAATAAATCTAACACTTGAGATTTGAGTGTTTCTTGTATAGACAACATTGTACTAAATCCTTTGTATTCATTAGATAATTTAACTCCTTCCTCATTCAAATAATTGGAAATTATTACTATGACTAGTACCATTTTACAGATGAGGAAATGAGACAGATTATTTGCCCAAGGTTACCAGTGTTGAAAGGAGCAGGCCATCATTGCAACCCATATTTTTCTGAAGTTGGAACTTGAGTTGTTAACTATTTATCCATGCTCTATGTATTGATAGCCTATTTTTATAGACTATATTCTATAGTCTCCTGTAGCAATATTTCATGATTTTCTTATCTCCTTCACTTTATTGAAAATAAAGAATTGGAAAGCACTTGATTTTGCAAATCAATTTGTTTCTTTAAGACTTTATCAAGATTTATGAAATGACTAAGTACTTTAACTCAGTATACTGAGCAGGAATGGGAAAAGGGGAATAGTGCTAATTTAAATACATGGTTACTGATGTAGTATCTTTTGTACATTCTGCTAAAACCTTGTAGCTCCAGATTGAGTTCATTTAATTTACATGACTTATCTACCACATAACCTAATTGACAAAGTCATTTCTTGTCAAATCAGCCAAGTTAGACTTACACTCTGTTGGAAAGTGTGACTTCATTTTTTTCCATTCAACTAAATAAATGTGTTAATGACCATTCATATGACACTTCTGAATTCTAACATAGGTGGGTAGGTACCATGAACTTGTCTTCTGGATGAAATAAGATGCTGTCACCTTCAACATTTCTTACTAGTGCCTTGTTATTTTGCTCGTTATTTGAGCTTTCTTCACTTCTTTGCTCCAAGCATATCCTTTGGCAGTAGGCAGGACCTGGAAAAGATGTGGTTGTTAAGTAACAACTGTCCTTTGTTCCTTTGCTCATACTTCAATATATCTGAATTCATAACATTCCAACAAGAGCCAAAATCATTTCTAAAGGACACTATACTCCTACGAGAAATGTGTTATAAAACACAGAAGGACAAAAAGCACCCCCAGCTTTACAGTTTCCTGATTAAAGGAAGTTTCATTCATGCCAGTATTTCAGACTTTTTTGTTTGGTGCCCTCAAGACTTTTGCTCTCCTGGACAATATTCTGTAGTGTCCTTTTTTAAATGGGAAAGGGCTAAAATGAAAGGGGAGGCAACTTCACAAGATGTATTATAGGCCAAATAATTTTCAGAAAGACTACATGAAGAAGTTGAGGTAACCTTAAAATTGCCCATTCTTTCATACCCCATGGAATCTACTCTGTGCAGCCCCCAGGGATACATATGTCCGAGCTTGCAGGCTTCTGGTCTATCCTGCCTGCGTCTACTCCTCCATCCCTCCCTGCTCCTGCAATCCAGAGCCATTCTGTCTTTTACCTCAGTCGGTACTCAGAGCTCTATAATGAATCCCTAAACCAGACCTTGTCTTACTAGATATAACTAAAAATGTGAACACCTACCCTAGCTAAGAAAGGAAAAAATAAGAGAAGTAAGGGAAAAAGAGAACAGAAAACGGAAAGGAACAAAAATTCTCTTAGCTTACGGAACATGTCAATATATCCTGCAGGGAGCTTGGATTTTGCTACTTCTGTGCTCTTGTTTTTCTGTTTTGCCTTTGTTTTTGCTTCAGCCTGGCAGTGCCTTCCCTTCCTACCTACCCATGTAGGCTTCAAGGACCAGTATGTGCATGAAGTGAGAATATAATTGCTCTTCCTTTCACACCCACGTTCTTGGTTTGTACTCTTAATTTTTAGTATTTGAATAACCATATATTTTTCATTATGGTTATTTAAAATTTGTTTCCTCTCTATCTTGTTCTTTTCTTATTGTGTGGCCTGTAGTTAGCAGCTGTCTTCATTTTGATTGAATTGAATTTGCCTCTGATACATATTTTCTTCATAGATGCTATCTTGGATTTGGAAAAATATATTGGGGCTTGTAAATAGCTCTCCATAATGTGCAGCGTTACTATCTAATTATTCTGTTTCATAATCATATTCTGTCAGTAATCTAAACAAGCTAAGGTTTTTATTTCTGCTCTTCTTCTCTCCCCAGGAATCAAAAAGATCAGAATCTCTTATGGACATTCATCATAAAAAATTAAAGAGTAAGGCTGCTGAAGATAAAAATAAGCCTCAAGAGAGAATACCATTTGACCGCGATAAGGATCTCAAGGTTAATCGGTTTGATGAAGCTCAGAAAAAAGCCCTAATAAAGAAATCTAGAGAACTAAACACCAGATTTTCACATGGCAAAGGCAATATGTTTTTATAAGTAAGTATACTTCAGTGAGATATATTTTCATACTGATCAGTTTGAACTTTTCTAAATACCCTTGTCTTTAATAATTATTTGCTAAAATCTATTTCCTTTTATTAGAAAATAGATTCTAAACCTATAATTTAATTTTTTATAAGTATACTGATTTTTGTAAAGTCAGCCTTGTGGAATAAAAAATATGGTTTACTGGAAAAAGGGTCTTGCCTTCATAATTACCTAACAAAATGATGCTGTTAAAAATGCTAAAATAAAAATTCAGTTTATAAGAAATAACAAAGGAAAGTGTGGTTTAAAGCTTTCACTATATATGCATGCTTTATTGAAGAATGAAGAAAGGAAATTTGCTGGTAATTTGTTAAACAAGATCACAATTTTAAAATGTTCATTGCTTGCTGTCCCTCTTCGACTATGTAAAAAAAAAAAAATAAAAAAAATAAAAAATAAAATGTTCATTGCTTAGAAAGGTCCCCTATAAGTTAAGGGTCAGAGCTATTCTATCGTTCATTCATAGCCCAGTCTGACAAGGGTTTGTAATGATGATTAAGGAATTACATAAGGCCTGAGGTTGCCTCTTAAAATCTTTATGATTTTTAATTGTATGAAACCTATATCAATATTCAAATGTGATTTTAAAGGAAAATATAGTTAAATTTATAAATATTTTACAACTTACTGAATTTTCTTATTCTTATCTCAGGGGGATTTCCCTGTGCAATGAAGAAAAGTTGAAGAATACTCTTTTGTCTGTCTATCCACCTTTATTCCTTGTTTCTTAAGATTAGAGATTACTTTAATCTTAAAAACTATACAAATTTACCTTGCTCTATGTGTCCTTTAAGGTCATGTGGAAACATAAAATTCATGTTAGTTATGTAGAATAGGATATTTTGTGTGCCTTTGGCTTATGAGGAAGTATGGTCTTTCCTTCAAATAATTATTTTGAGGGTCCCCCTGATCTTTGTGGTATCTCACAAATGCCCTCTAAGATGTGGTCAGGACTATCCTCTGAATCTCTATCACAGCCTGGACCTCCTCGTCAAATATACTTAACCTGTCTGAGAGTAAGTGTGTCAAGTCCTTGAATTTCAGATTGGTTGGTTTTTCCCTCTAAACTGCAGCCAGTGAATACAAATTTATGTGAAAATAGAGGGTGTGGAGTTTTGTCTTTTTTGTTATTAGTTTGCTTGTTTTTAGCACTCAGGGCTTTTTATTTGTTTGTTTTTTGGGGGGTTTTTTAAGTCAAAAAGAGAGCTCTCTGGGATGTCTCATATGCTAAGGAAAAGCTTTTGATTTTTCTAACTTTAATGATAAGTATTTCTAGGGGAGGCAATCTGAAGGACAAGGTAATGCCATTAACTGTTAACAGTATGAAATCTTTTAAGACTCAGTCTCTATGATCTCAACCAAAGCTTTCTGAAGTCCTAGAACTTTGCTTTGAGATGGTCTTACTTTACCCATTTATATACTGTACTTAACAATTTGTAGCTGATTTATTGGGGTCAGGTCTTTTATTTATTTTTTTTTTTTATTTTTTTTTTTATTTTTTTCTTCGAAATTCCTCTTCTGTCATATGGGTCAGGTCTTTTATATCAATCATGAACAGCCTTTTTTAAGAAATCAGACTAATAAATCCCTGAATACAGAAATGGAAATGGAAAATCTGTCATCATAGCCACCCTAATTGGTAGCATTATGTTTGTAATGTTTTAAACACTGCCTCTTTTTTTTTTTAATTTTTATTTTTTTATTTATTTTTTTTTTTGCAACTAGGTGTGGCTATAAACACTGCCTCTTCAGGAGGATCGCTTGAGCCCAGGAGTTTGAGGTTGCTGTGAGCTAGGCTGACGCTACGGCACTCACTCTAGCCTGGGCAACAAAAGTGAGACTCTGTCTCAAAAAAAAAAAAAAAAAAAACCACTGCCTCTTAAGATGTCAAACAGAAACTTCTATTTAAACTATTAAACCATTGTTAAATAAAGCCTAAAGGCAAATTCTGTAAGTTATATTTTCTTTCAGATTAATCCCAATTATTAGTGCTAGTTCTGTGTTCTAGTTTTGATGAAGCACAAGGTTTTAATGGAAAAAGATTCTGATTCCCAATTCATGTAAACTTTATGAAAGTGAGTAACCCATTCAAATGATGGTACAAATTATTCTTCTTTTAATAATAGCAGTGCAGTGTATTTTTTCATGACATCAGTATAAACTGTAGCCTACTAAAGGAGCATTGCTATTAAGATGAATAATTAATTCTCTTAAGCAAATTGAAAAGCTTCTTGTCTAAGCAGAATTGAATATAGCTACCTTTTAACTAAAGATGTCATTTTTAATGGGTAATATTTTCTGACCACAAAACTTTGTACAAGAGTATCTCCATTGTGTTCATTTAATTTTGCTATAAATTTTTTCCACTGAAAGGAAAAAATGTTTTCTAGTTTATCATCCTTATATAAATTCCTAACATATATTTTTGAGAAATTGGTATTTTTTTAAAGTAAAAATGTCATCTTTGGATGCTTATTTTTGCTTTAATTTCCTCATCTGAAAAGGGTAGGGATATTTCTGTGTTACATATTTATCGTTTCTTCCCTCACCTTTGTAGTGTCCATAACCTTGGCATAAAGGAAAGAAATCTCTGCTTTCTTCCTGGTACTTGCAGGATCTACTGCCTTAGAGCTAATGATCTTTTATGCCAAGCTGAAGACAATTTTAACAAAATTTAAGGCCAGCTCCAGAGTTTTTTTTTTTTTGCCCCATGGAAAGAATAATCCCAATCCAAGAACACTGACAACAAAAGAGCAAAGTAGCTATTTGCACAGAATGGAAAGGCACTCTTCACTTCATCCCCTTCCCTCTTCCAGCTGCAAAAGGCCTAATTGAATCAAGTCTCCCATGCATTGGGCAGAAAGCTGGGATTGTGGATGTTTTCATAATGAGAACTTTTTAATTTCCTACATAGGAATGTGACCTTTCTTAAAATTTAAAAATTAAGAGGAATAAAAGCAATACTAAGTTGATACTTTAACGTTCTTACCTTTGAAGGTAACATTTAAGTTCATTGTGCCTGAAGTTACATGATTTTGTCCAGCTCTCTAAATTACCATCTCAGATAGGTTTAGATGCTTCAAATAGTAAACACATTACTGGTAAGTAAATGGTGGGGTTATGGCATTTAGCAGGTGGGGAAATAGGAAGGGGAATGAAAGGTGAGAGATCTTGGCTACCCCCATGATAAGACTGCCTTATCAGATAACTTCAACCTTTTTTGTATTCAGCAAAACACAGTAAATTAAGCCCTACTTTCAAAAAATAAAAATAAAAGCCATGGTCTTCCTGAGAGGTTTTAATTTTAATCTTGTTTAGAAGTAGCAACCATTTGACATTTAATTTATCACTAACATTTAATTTTAGAAGTGAGGTTGAGATTTGCATAGTGCTGAAGCTTACATGCTCTAGACTAGATTAATGGTTATTGTATAAATTGATCCCACAACATTATGGCATTTTTTGTTTCTTATGTAGGGTAGATAATTTTAATATTATTCTGAAATGTAGGCTCATGGAGGAGAGTTTTTAAACTACTGTAGTTACACAAGGCCCTTATCACTTCTCTTTTCACTTTTTCTATAGCACTGGTAGGTATTATTAGCAAAAAGTTTTCTCTTAAGTTATACCTAAGAGGAAAATTAACATGGGAGGAAGTAGATAGACATAGGACCCATGTAACATCAACAGCCATGTCTTCTATTTCAGAATATTAATTTATTTTGTTTTGGCTTTCGATGCCATCCTGAGATTTGAGTCTGCAGTTACAAAAGTTCATGCTACTGCAGAAGGAGTATATTTTTGGCAGTTTAAAAAGTTGTTTAACAGTGACCATGGTATATACAAAATTAAAAAGCTATTAATTGCCCCTTTCATTGTTTTCATTTTGAGCTTCACAATTAAAAGACTGTTTTTAGAAAAGGAGAATTCCTGAAATGTAATTTTTTATGTATAAATAAAGTTTCATCTATATCTAATAAGTTGTAGTTTTTATTTTTGTTTTGTTTTAATATTAGCTTTTCTGAAGCAGGCAATATCAGTAAAAAGAATATTCCATAAAGGTTTATTCTAGCCAACCACATCATTGTGGGCTATTATGGGAAAAAAAGTCTTTCACTTCAGGTTTTCATTATCCCGATATAAGTACAAGTAATATCTATTTACTTACAAACACAAGATGGAAATGCTTGTGGAAATGGAAATGCTCTTAAGAGCACTGTGGCATAAGAGATCTGGCACCGAGATTCCATTGTTCTCGTATCACACGACATGTAACAGTGGGTGGGTTTTTCTGTATTGTTTGATTATTATGAGTTTTTTTGTTTTTGTTTTATTTGGTCTCTCTACTTCCCAAATTGGAAGTGACCAAAAGAGATACTTTGCAATATAAAAGCTAAGCATTGAGTGATAGGAACACGTGGGGTCAAAAAGAGAGCCCTTGATTTCTCAGATCACTTCTATATACTATGTATTTATTAAGGAATTCATAGGTTAGTTCATTTATTCAGTAAACATTTATTAAATGCCCCAGTGTGTGGTAGGTGCTAAGAACACATTGGTGAACCAGACAGACATAGTCCTTTCGAGAGAGTCTGTGCTGGTCACTGTGGAGTAGTCAGAGGTAAGTAAAGCAGATTCCTTGTCCCATGGTTTTATATTCTAGTGGGAGAGCAAAATACAATTTGAGTAAAAAAAAGATCAAGTAACTGCAAATTGTGATAGGTGTGAGGAAAAAAACATGGTAGTGAGAGACTAGAACAAGTAGTTGAGGATGAGTCTAAACATTTGGTAAGTAGGGTGATTCTTATGAAAAGTTTCAAAGAGGTATCATTTAAGCTGAAACGTAAAAATTGAAAAAGAAGCTAGCATGAGAAAGTAACTGACCACATATGTAAAGGGCCTGAAGCATTAGTTCTGTGGTGTTTAAAGAACAGTACTAGTGTGGCTGGTATATAGCATGGAATATCGTGGCTCAGAGTTGAGCCTTGCTACTGATAATATGAAGCCCATGTAAGGGCATCTAATCCAGTACTAGAAGATAAAAGGAAGCCTCCCAGAGGAGAATACTTCCTAACCAAGTTATAAACATCACAAAGGAGTTGGCCAAATGGCTCTGGCACCAATGGTCTGCTCTACCAGCCTTCCAGAATTTCCCAAATATGTCTGAATTCACACTTTAGAACCTAACATATAAATTCAGACTTAGGCCCTTCCTCTGAAAACCTGTATATAACTCCACTAATAACTGTCATCAATTATCAGAGTATTCATATATTGAACTGAAAATGAGTCTATACTTTATCACTAAAACCATAATTATTTAAGAACAGCTGTTTTTTTCAGAAGTTTTATATTATTCTTTTCCTCCTGGGCCCCAATCAATTATTAAGGATTATTTACATTCCTGTTTTATTTATTTTTAATCTCAGGATGGAGTGTAGTGGCTCAGTCATAGCGCACTGCAACCTCAAACTCCTGAGATCAAGCAATCCTCCTGCCTCAGCCTCCCAAGTAGCTAGGACTACAGGCCCACGCTACCACACCTGGCTGATTTTTTTTTTAATTGTCTGTAGACATGTCTTCCTATGTTGCCCAGGCTGGTCTTTAACTCCTGACCTCAAGCAATCTTCCCACCTCAGCCTCCCAAAGTGCTGGGATTACAGGCATGAGCCATTTTTACATTATTTTTAAGAGCTAAATAGCACCTGATGAATTTAACAGTTATCACTTGAGAAACTGTTGACTGTTATTAGTTGAGCAATCTTTAGAATTCCAAGACGCAGCAGAATTTTTTAACTTAGGAACTGGAAAATACAGTAGATCAGTCTGTTTCTTAATTTGTAATCCTTGAACCACCTTGATCAGAATCACCCGGGAGCATGTTTAAATGCAGATTCCCAGGCCCACCCCTATTGAATGGGAATCTTTGAGGTCAGAGAATCTCCATTTTAACAGTTATCCCAGGTGATTCTTTGTAAAATCAAGCTGGAGAACCACTGCACTTAGGTATGTTCCTATAAGCAAACCTTTCTCCTTTGTTATATGTTCTACTTTTCTGTTATATATTCCTAAATACATAATCATTTTATGTTGCATAGCTACAATCACCAGTACTAACAGTACATGCCTTAGGAAGAGTGGATTGTCACTTCTGTTGAGTGAATTAATGCCTAAAAGCCTTCATTCTTCAAACGTCTACCAGCCGGCTACTACAGTGCTCAAGAATATACTGCCCAATGGTAATTCAGTTTCATTGGACTTTACATTCTCTTCAGCACCTAAGAGAAATAGTTAAGTTATAAGGTCCTGGTCCCTGGCTGATTTGGGACCATATGAAATGACTGAACGCTTGATATATACAGAGCATTGAAAAGGCTGAAGTGCTGAAGATAAACTGCAAAGGACAGTCACTACCTTACAACTGTTTTCCTTGGGGGAACTAACCAGTTTTTGTTACTAAAGTACTTGGCGGTCTTAGGTAACTGTGCTTTGAAAGCTAAAGTATTAACTTCAGAAACAAGCAAGTTTACTTGTAGACACCAGTTTCTGCATTTGCTGACAAAGGAAAGATAACAGTAAGTAAAAGAACATTTATGGTCTTAATTAGTTTTTTTCCCCAGCAGCTTTGTATATTGGTTAATAAAATTATCATATTTGATAAAACTGAGGTTCTTAGAGTTTAAAATTTTGCAAACTGCAGTTTATCAATAAAGACAAGATTAAAACTCACAACCTATCCATTTATAAGATGTTAGTCAATCCATTATATGTGTTGCCTCTAAGAAAATGACATGAAAAGATTAATTCAGAGTGCTTCTTTCAGCAAATCATAAAGAGCTTTTTAAAAATCACACTTCTATCTTTTCCAGTGAGCATATGTCAGCACCCAGTAGGGCTACATCTTTATTCAACATTTTCCAGAACTGAGTAACACCTAGGCTTAGGGGCACAGGAGATGATAGTTGAACAAAAATGGTGTGGACCAGTTTAGTCAACAAAAATCTCTAAATCAATATTTTTCAAACTTTGATGTTCATCAGAATCCCCTGGGAGCTTATTAAAAATAAAGATGCCTTTTCCTTCTTACCAGAGGTTTTCATTCTATCAGGTTTGGGATTGGGCCCAAGTATCTTCCAGGTAATTCTTAAGCACTGCAAGTTTGAGAACCAAACTTGTTTGGCCAAACATGACAATTAAGATTTCTAGAACCAGCCGGGGCGGGTGGGCTCACGCCTGTAATCCTAGTCTTGGAGGCCTGAGGCGGGCGATCGCTCGAGGCACAGGAGTTGAAACCAGCCTAGGCAACGAAGCGAGACCCCATCTCTACTAATAAAGAAAGAAATTCATTGGCAAACTAATAATATAAGAAAAAATTAGCCAGGCATGGTGGCGCATGCCTGTAGTCCCAATCACTTGGGAGGCTGAGGCAGGATCGCTTGAACCCAGGAGATTGAGGTTGCTGTGAGCTAGGCTGACGCCATGGCACTCACTCTAGCCTGGCCAACAAAGCAAACTCTGGCTCAAAAAAAAAAAAAAAAAGATTTCTAGAACCAAAGGAGTCAGATTATTGTCATGTTGTGAACTGAGCCTCTTGATTCAAAAATATCAGAAACAAAGTAACTTCCCAGGCTCCCTTGCTGCTAGAGCACAGGTATGTGCCTGGGCTTGCCAATCAGATGCACCATGTAGGTTGGTATTCTTAGGGAGAAAAGGAAGAAGTGGGCTTCCAGATCATCTTCTTGGGACTTAGTGATGGAAGTAGCCAGAACTTCATGCAACCAGAGTTGGCACTTCTAAGCACCCAGTCCCAAATGTCACTTGGTGGCCAGCTGCTGTGCGTGAGATCGGTGTGGTAGGATGGTGGAAACAACGGGGCTCATTGAGCAGCATGCAGTGTAGAGGACAATTCCTGTGATAACTTCTGTCTGCTTCAACACAAGCTTTTTACTTGTGTTCAGGTAAGATTGGTAACTGAAGTCATACCATGGCTAGTTAAGAGCATAAACTATTGGGTGAGAGCTGAACAAACTGCTCCTGCCACTAGTTGGTAAATTTGAGAATGTTTCTTAACCTATCCTCAAATGTAGTTATCTTTAAATGGGACAGATATCACAGATTTGTAGGATTAATGAGATGACATATTTAAACAGCCAAATCCAGCAATAAATGGATGGTTATATTATTGTCATCCCTGGATAATAAACACACTCAGACAACCCTGGTAGAG